AATAGGCCGAATTGTCCGGGCCGGGCTCGGCGCCGGGCCTTCTACGACCGCGCCGATCCCCGCCACGGCCTGGCCGACGCCCTCCGCGGCGCCGGATCAGGTGTGGTTCGACACCGTGCCGAACCACATGCCACTTCCGGGAACCCGCACCGCCTTGGTGGCCCCCGGACCCTCGACAACGCGGACGCCGCGCGGTCGAAATGCCCCTTTTTCCACCGCGATCGATCGGAAGAACCACGCCCACGTGCTCGAGTCTCAGGCTAAATTCTTTTCCGCCACGAACACGTTTCAGCAAGCCGGATCCGCGGAGGAAAAGAACGGGGAATCCTACCCGAATAGAAGTCTACGGGATCCTCTACGTCAGAAACCTTCTATTGCTCCCGTTTTTCCTAGGCGGCTTATTCCTATGCCATCCCATAAGTGAGTAGAATTAAATTGAATAGTTGAGGCTCGAACAGAGGTAACCGCTTTAGCGTTAAGCTAAATTGTCTAAATACATAGTCTAGGACGTGGGGATTACCAAGACAGGGGAATAGAAAGAAAATCCATTGCCGTGTCATTTTGGTTTATCAAGATACTCCTGTTTGTACTCCTTTTGGTTAGCTTTGCACTTCCATTCTATTGACTTTACTTTATCTGATGTATTCAGTACTTTTTTATTTTAGTTCGCGTATAATATTACACATGTATAGCTTTATAGGCATCTTTTAGGTACCCTTTCTGCCTCCCCCTCCAAAAAAGAAACTCCTTATAGGAACGTAAGAAATTAGAATTGATGCTCTGTACTCTTATTCTACGAAATGATACTATTTCGGTAAAAACTTTAAAGGCTAAGCATAAGCGATTAAATTTCTACCTTGTGTGTTTTCTTGCATCATTCCTGAAACTTTCTTGGTATCTATTTCTTCTACTGTCGTTAATTTTTTACGTCTTTATCAGTACTCTGAATTAGGTTTCCGGTTCACATTAGATAACTTTTTTTTATCAATATATTTCCGGTGTATTGTTGCTTTTGACACTAAGAAAAAAAACGTCACGTGACAACAAGACTAGATTTCTTCGCTTATTCTATTAGTATTTTTTTTTATACTCCCGCCTAAAGACGTTTTTCGTTGTGGCAATCACGTGAGTACTTCGAACTCAGTGCTGTTATTATTTCCTTATCCACGGCTCGACACCCATTCTTTCTGAGGTAACCATAGGTATTTCAGCGACCAAATGGAGGAACAGAATTGGGGATCCAGTGAGAAAGGCGCTCAGATTGTCGAAGTATCAGAAGCAAGATCGCTTGCTACGAGCAGCGCGGCAAACCTATTAAATCCTCGGGAGGACCATCTTTGGATCGCCGGCAGCGTCCCGCAATATGTGGTGTTAAAACTCAACCCGGCCCACCCGCCGCTGCGTTACGCCGGCTGGCATGTCTGGCATGATTACCCGACGAACCCCAGCAAAGTCGAGATCGCCTCCGGCGAGTCCGCGGACGCACTCAGTCCTCTGCTTATCTGCCGAGCGCTTCCAGGCGCGGGGACTCAATTGTGGCTGCTCCCAAAGCCGATTCCACCCCACCATTTGTACGTTCGACTGAAGATCACGGATAGCTTTACGGCGGGTCCGACGTACATGAGCACCGTGGTGCTTCTTGAAAATGACCCTGGACCGACTTACCGCGGTGGTGCCCTACCGGTCGCGGATGCCGCTGCCGCGAACGAGCTCCACCCAGACCTTGGCGCGGCGGGAACCTCAAAGAGGGCCCTGGATATGCTGCCGAAGATTTTAGTTCGCCATGGGCGGGCCGAGCAGTTTCTCCATCATGGGGCCACCCCCAATACGGCCTCGACGGAGCAGAGCTACGTGTTATTGAATGCAGGTAGCACGACCAGTCGAGAGCCGATCAGCGGGACGGTCCGCTCCACCAGTGCCCCGATTCCGGATAAGTCGAGGAATCGGTTGGGGAAACTACTCAAGGATCTGGAGGAGGATATTCGCAACCTGCACCCGATAAAAGGAATTCATCCGCCGCCCAGCATGTTTCTCCCGGCGCTGCAGGACACCTCGTTGTTGTCCCCGCCTACGACGGACACGGGAAACAGCACGAGCACCGACGGGAAGACTCATCGCGCGAGCTTGCCAAGGCCGCAAAAGCATCCCCCCCTCTCCCCTCCTTACCCTTACGACGCGCCGGCGGTGGATTGGGAGGGCCCCCACGGGGAGGTTGAGGCGTTACCGCCCCACGTCCTGGCGATGGTCACCAAACTGGGCGATCGAATCGGCATCCTCGAGCAAGCCGTGGCGTCTCTTACGCAGACCGTTCAGCATCAGCGGGAGGATTTGACAATGATGAAACGGCTACAGCGGCAACAGGCGATCGAGCGGCGGAAGGAATCGGAATGGCGACACGAGGCCCGTCGGGAAGAAGAACAACGGCATGCCGGTGCTCTGCTTGCGTTAAACTCCACCGATCATAAACTAAACCATCATCAAATCGATGTCAATTTCCCAGAGGAAGCGTTACGAGGATATGTGGAATCCATCATGGAGGAGAGACTACAAAAGAAACTGAAAAAGAATGAGAGTAAAACCCTTAAGCGCCTCGATGTGTATTTGAAGGATGTCATCCGGTCCATTGCCGAATCTGTAGACGTGCAGTTAAATCACATCCTTCAGTAGCTACCGAATGGACCAAACCGATATCCGTCTGAGATGATAAAACATTTAGCGCACACGGGATTGAATGCCACCACAAAAACTTGGTACAAAAAGAGTGGCGATAATGTACTGAATCATGAAGACACACCGAAAGGGACTTTATAATATTTATCTAACGCTTTAGCTAATTTTCACATCGTCTCCAGTTTTCTTTACCTTCCTAATTCTGTATATTTATCCTCATCTCAGCTCCAAAGATGGCCATTTTAATTCACGACAAAGTCTTTTAACTCGAACACTAAAAGTAAGCTAGGGACATAGCACAGGTCCTTTAAAACGGCCACTGGAAGGTAAAATCCAGTACTCATAAAAATATTTATTCAACTATTTCTGTTTGCTTAACTTCATCAATTTGTATTTTGTCCTGGGTATAGATGATAGTAAAACTAAGATCTATAGACTGCAATTGTATGTGTCTCAATCGTTTTCGCCTCATTTCATTACGGGAAAGGTTGTGCTCTCTTATAAATAGATACACTAATAAGTTAGGTCCTAATGAAGAAAAAGAAGTGTGGTAAAGGATGCCTAATGTCTAGAATATCTAATGGGATTTATTTGATCACCATTTCTCGAAAATTGTAGCCTTGAGAGGAAGTGATAATAATAGTAATTTACTCAAGTGAACCTAGGCCCTGTTGCAAGAAAAAATAATTACTTTCCCCTACACCATTTGTTGACGGTGTATTTTTTTTTTGAATAATACAGTTTAGCCTGTGACCCTCTGTGCAAAACAGACCAAAACACATCAAATCTAGCAAGTAGGTTATAGTACAATAGGTAGTCTATAGTTTATCGACTGTGGTGGATATATTATCTTTTATTTCTTTAATCCTTATTTTACTTTCTGTTTTTAATATTCTTTCGCTACCCTTCAAAAAAGGAAGCAAACAGAACATAATATGGGTATTCACACACATGCAAGCTCGTAGAAATAGTATAATTAACCGCGTTGCTCGTCGCTATGCGCGAGTGCCTGGTGAACACGGTGATGGCAGTGTCCCTGCATTTTATCCCATATCTATCAATCCCGGGCTGTGGGGACAGCCCTTTGCGAAAGTCAAAAACGGCAAGTACCAAGTTATTTTTTTCCATTTGCTGATCTTCCCAATAGTGTTTTACTGGATCTTTGATGTCACTTTCGGGCAGCGCACGCGCATTGGGACGATTGGTAAGCGTGCACTTCCTTCAAACTTCGCTTTTAGGCAACTAGACCTGGACGATCCTGACCATGCTATTAAGTACAGAAAGCTACAGGAGGAAATGGCCGAAAATAAACTAGAGGTTCGTTGGGGCGGTACAAATTTTTTGGCAAGTTATTTGTGGGAACCCGGCGATCCAGAGCCCGATGTTCGGCGAAAAGAACCCCCCAAACATGCTCATTGACACCATTAGTTAATTCCCACCAAACCATGTTATAACGTTTTTTTATCTTTGCCTTTTTACTTTTGCGTAGTCTATATATTAGGAAAAGCATTTAACATAGAGGAAAGCATCTGTGGATCGAAGATGTGGGGTAGATTTCTTTCCTTGCCATTTCTCTTCTGGAAGTATAGCAAGGATGATGCGAGTTTCCATTGGTGCGCAAAATACTTTGAAAAAAAGTGTAGTCTTATATTGTATCACCTTTTTAAAAATGATTTTACTTTTTAACTTTTACACTGGAGATTGACTTTTTTAAGTATATTACCAGCGTCAAGTGCTAGAAATAGCACTAGATGATTAATGCAAACTTACCCTTAGCAACTCTTCAGTTACATAATGAATCCATACACACAAATTAGTGTTGCGCTTCTTATGATCGCCGTCAATCTGTATTGGATCGCCGCACTTTTTATCATCTTTCTCAGAGCCAACGAGCCCCATTTTCAGGTTTTATCGCAGTACAGTGGTCGCTTAACCTCTGTAGCTTCCTACGCTAGCGGTGCCAAAAAGACAGAGAAGAAATTCTGCTTAACGACAGTTGACGTTCCAGTCCAGGGCAGGGCGCGCGGCGACGCATCGGCGGCGCAGGCTACGCCTTGCAAGGCGTCAAACAATGCCATGCAGCACGTTGGTTTAATGGTAAATTGGGTGCGAGACTCTGCTCTTGGGCGTGTGTGGGTAGGTCGTCGGAATAGCTTCTGTATCTTTTACCTTAGTGGGATTTTTACCTGTGCTGGTCTATGGACCGCGGCATTCATGTGCTCCACTCCGTCTTCACTGACGAAATCGAACCCAGCTGCACCGTTACGTATTGAGGCCAGCTTACCTCTCCTAGCATTTTCGATTCACGTCTTAGTGCGCTTAGTGGAGTGCTTAATCCTGCAAGAATTTCGTGACCAAAAGGAAGACCGTATGTTGCTCTTTGCGACTCTTGCCGGGAGCTCTTTTTACATTTTTGTTCCGCTTTCTAGCAATGGCTTGTTGATTTATTTCATATCACTATGGAGTTACGAGGCTCCACCTGGTAGAACATCCAAAGATCTCCAAAGTGATATCTTTCTTCATTTCTCTACAGCGGATCCTTTTGAATTCTACATTTCTAGTCGTTTGGCTCAGTTACTAATGTGGTCTCTTTTCATAACCCACATCCTAGTGCAGCTTCTGCAGGTCCTTCACCACCGCATCTTGTCGGAGCTACGCCGTTCATCTCCCTCATTGTCAAAGGGAGACCTTTCACCCATAGTCTTTTCTGCGATAGATCAATTTTCGACGATCGATTCGAATATATTGCCTTCTGATCATAAGGACACTTTCCGCGAAATCAAAGATAAAACCAACAGTGGATGTCAACAGATCTTTCAGGGCTTGTGTGGTTCTAAAAAAGGTGATTTCAGTGTTGCAGTATTTCGAACCGGTAAGAGCCCAAATTTGTTGATCAAAAGTGGGGTCTCCGATCATCGTGTTTGGACTTATCGGTTCCCTCAACGGCTCCTGTTTCCTTATGTACAGGAGCCGCATTACAGCTGTGAGATTGTGATGTACGTGATTAACTTGATGGAAATGCTTGTATTGTTTCTATCACTTTTTCCTCGTCGCATGTCTTTACATACGTCAGGAAAGTCCACATATATTCCGATCGTCCCACGTGAGCCTTTTTGCCCATTATTTTCAGTAGAGCATATAGCCTGGATGCAATTATCTGCTGCGCTCTTAGTGGGACTATTTACGCTATGTAACCTTGCCATTACTTCAAGTGAACATCAAATGTTTTGGCTGTATCTCAATTCTACCAGGAAATTTGTACGGTGTGCTATAAACCAGCTTCGTGACGCTAAGCAGCAAACGCCTAGACAAGACACTCTAAGTTGTGATAAGTCTTCCAAGACAGTTGAAAAGTTCACCCAAAATGAAGCAGTGCCAAAATGGCGATTGTTTACATTTATATATTAATAAGCGTTTCTTGTGTGCACTTTTTTAACTGCTCTGACTAGGAAAAGGAAAAAAAAGCCCCAAGAGAAGTATAAGGTGACGACGATGACGAAAACATAACTTCCGTAGATCCGAATGCATTTTTCAACCTGGGGAATTCAATGGCACACAATATATGCAAATTTCTTTTACCTTTAATTAGTTTAATTTGTCAGAAAGGTAATCATGCCTCCGTTAGTCCCTAACTACACGTTTTCAGATTTCCTGCTTTGTCTGCAGCGTAGTCCGACGTCACACATGAGCATTCTCTATCATCAGCATAGCCAGTTGTTTCGTGGCCGTCCTGACATGTTCACAAAGTCCGTTCTCTCCGTTAGTTGGGAGCGGTCGCTAGCTCTGCTTGACGCCGCGTACTACTCTCAATCCATTGCGGTGGAAACCTATGACGGTGTCCTTAGACGGATGCTTCTGCATAATAAGCATGTTTCGCAAACGGGCGCTGGAATAATGGTAGGCTGGAAACCAGCGATGCGTGTGTTCTCTGAAGCTATCTTAGCACACGGAAACGCCGTTCCAACATACATGATGGTCTCGACTCTTCGACTCCTCGTGCCTCACCGGCGCGCCGCCACTGCGCTCAAGATTCTTCAGCTAGCCCAAGCAAACGATAAACTCACAAAGCCGATGCTTGTCGATGCCGCTCACGCCTCTGCGACACAAGATAACTGGGAGCAAGCTTTACGCCTACTTATGCACCTCCACAAGGATGATACGAGTTATCTTGCGGAAGCTATTCAGAGCCTCCGCCCTACGGGGACGGATGCGGTGAGTACACAGAGTGTGCAGCATTCTGTCTTGCCCGACACGCCCATACCAAGACCCGACGCGACTCAACGGCATATTCTTTCTGTGCTGAACGACGTCGTCAGCAGTGTACCGTGGGAGGTGGCACTTAAAAACGAGCTATGCTATTCGTACTTAAGCCACCTCACCGCTAGCACCGTCCTGACCGTTGAAGAAAAGGTTAAGGCGCTCACCAAGGCGATCAAAAAACTTCCGTGGAACGTCACCATGGCGCTGCTGAAAAAATACACCGAACCGAATCTACTACTTAATACCGAGTGGAAACAACTAAGCTTGGAATTACCACACCCGTCCTCAGTAAAATTGGCGAGCACCATTGGCAAGAAGGGAGGTCCGGCAAAAGGTAATGGCAAAGGAAAGCTAAAAAAAATACATAGGAAAAGCAAAAAAGGAAGCAAAACTGCAGAGAATACCGAAAAGGCATCTGAAGAAAGTTGCATGGAGGACACCAAAATTCCACAAGAGCGATCCGTCACTAGCGGAATGGCGTCTCCAGAAACCGCTTCCATGACCGAATTGCTTCCTGAGGATATCTGGGGCTCGGAGATGCCAATGGGCCCACAACCCGCTTGGGATTTAGTTGCGCGTCAGTTCTTCTCCTCACAGAGTCCATTGGCGTGCCCCTCATCCACGCTAGCCGCGTTGATAGCGGTGTTAGTGGCGAAACTCCCCGGCGCGGCCGATGCCGCGGAGTTTCTCCAGGCCGCAAGTGC